AGGCAAAGTGACGTCACTGCCAGTCCCTTAAAAGGACGTCACAGTTCACGTTCTCGTCGTGCAAATCTAAAAGTCCCTATTATGTCACTGAAAACCTTCAGGACGTATCACTGATATAATTATTGTTTGTTGACCAACAATGGGCGTATAGCTACTACACTCTTAATAACTTAGATTTTAAATCAGCATTTAAAGACCGTCAATACTACTGGGCCAGAAGGGATTAGACCACACAGCGAGGTCACTGACAGGTGGCTATCTCATTAACTCAGCTCTCAACTAACGTAAGAAAAAGAGGATCATGGGGGACCAACAGGCACCGATTGGGGAAGTTTTCTATATAGAGGGAGCAAGTAGCTACAAGTAGGACAGTGGGGCTTTAAAAGGGAGGAGGAAAGACAACTTTTTTTTCAGAATGGTTAACGCTTTAAACATGCTGAATCCAACACTATAAAAGTGTAATGTTTAATCCAGCATGTTAAAGGTGTAACTCTGACATTTTGAAAAGTACTCACTTCTCGGTCCCTTCAAAGAGTGATGTTAGATTTTAGTTTTATAGTGTAGGGGCATTGAGGACCCCCTCCCCCCAATCGAATGGGGGGGGGGGGGGTGGGAAGGAGGGGGAATGGTAATGCACATCATAATTATCATTATTTCAGAAATTTGCTTTGAGCTTAATTTTTGTCAAAATAATAAGATTAGAGATTAAGGTACGGCCATCCCACCTTCATGAACAGTCTACAGACATTCCGGACTTTGCTCTGCATAGCTTGTTCTCTCATCGTTCCTTTATGATATGAATTCGAATTCAAATTCAAATAATCATCGAAATCAAACCCTGACCTATGGGAATTTCCTTTTTTAAAGACAAAATAAATAAACCAGAAAAGAAAAGAATAGAAAGAGGTATGCTAAGTGAGAAATCTCAACAAAACAAAGTCAAATTGTTTGTCAAATAACTGGTGCATATCGCGTTACACTCGACAAACTTTTAGTGGTATCGCTGTTATAAAATACACAACAAAACACAATAGAGATAAATAGTGAATAGAGATATACAAACAGAAAGCACTGTTGCTAACTAATTCAAAGTAGATCACTGGCGTACTGATGGGGGGGGGGGGCTTTGACCCCCGAAATAAAATTCAACTTCTTACTTTTTATCCGATACCAGTGATTTACAAATGTTCCTGAAATTACAGATTTTCCAGGTTTTCTTCTTCTCATTTCTGCCCATTATGCCAGAGGCGTACGCAAGGGGGGGGGGGGGGGTTCGGGGTTAAACTCCCCTCAATTAAAAAAAGAAAGAAAAAAGTGCACACTACACCCCCCTACTGATCGAAATATTAGTCAACGTTGTCTCAATCACTCTATCCCTCACTGTTCATTTCTATCTTAATTTTGCTAATTTCCGTGTCTATATTATTAAATATAGTTAGCTTTAGTTATTTTGACAAATGTGCAACCCCACAACTTCTCCTACAAAAATGAAAAAACCAACAGCACATTAATAAATAGAAAAGTTGCAGACATGGAACGACCAGCACAGTATATGCTTTAAAATTGATGGCAAAAGCTAAACATTGAATGAGAGGGCGCTATACCACTGGAAGAAAAAATGATGGGAAAAAAAGTTTGGATACAACAATTATAACACAGACATATAACGAATGATTTAAATCGTATGTTTGATTCAAAAGTTATTCTCTATTTAAAACAAGTACACAAATACATGTATCTACTTTTGGACAGACATTTTTTTACAGCCATTCTCCTATAGTCGCCTGAAATAGGACTCACAAATCAACATGATAATTTAGTATTTGTCGCCCGGCCTCGGTTTAACGTTTTTAGCGAGTAACTTATGTCTCTATAACATTAATCTAAGGTACAAGTCAGTTGTACCACAACAAGACATTGAGTTCTAATGAAATGTCTTCGACATCGGCTGTTTGAAGGGTCGTCATCCGAGTAACAGTTTGGGAAAGACATTTGGGAAAGAAGTTTACCGTATACACTCTAAAAATTAATGTCTACAAATCCAAGAATGTTTTTACTTACACATGCATATATGCACCTGCACAACAAGAACAAACATTTAAAATGTTGAATAACAGGATACGTGAAATTCTCACACATAAACACACAATCAGTGCGTTTATCTTCATCACCTTGAAGTAGTACTTATTGTCTGGAAGAAGAAGTTGGGAAATTTTAACCATGGTTGCGTAAACTCTTAAAAATTGTTTTCGAATAGAGAGAGAGGTAGGGGAACAAGGATTCGAGGGAGGGATAACAGCATCTAAAATATGCAAGTACCTGTAGTACATGGTATGTGAGTTCGTCGAAAAAAGATAGAGAATGTGTTAATTCTTGCTCGTGCATATACCACGAGAGTTGCCACTATACCACCCCCACACACACATTAGAGGGGCGCCTCATTTCCCGCTACGAATCTACATTTTAAAATATAATGATAATGATAACAACAATAATAGAACTACCACTACTATACCACTACTACTACTACACAAACACAACCGCTACTAGTACCACTACCTCTACTACTACTACTACTACTACTTCTACTACTACTACTACTACTACTACTACTACTACTACTACTACTTCTTCTATTACTACTACTTCTATTTCTACTTCCTCTTCTTCTTCTTCTTCTTCTTCTTCTATTACTGCATCTTCTTTTTCAATTACTACTATACTAAATGATAATAAGAGGGGGTTGGATATACTTGGATTATATAAAGCAAACCATATCGTAAAAGAGATAAATTTCTGATATGTATTGCAGGGATCAAGAAAGTTGAGAATTAACAATTAAGAAACTCGTGTATGAAGTTTTCCATTCTTCATCGAAATTGACCGCCACTCTCGGGATTTAAAGGTAAATAAAAGATTTGTGAAGGAATAAACATTGAAATGGTTGAAACTCTCGTTCGAAACTATGTGGAAGTGTGTCCTGTGTGGAAAGTGCATGACCTCTGTACTAAGGCCAAATAAAAAAAAAAACATGTTTAGCGTCCTGTTTTTTGGAAAAATCGGAGGAGGAGGCCCTTTTATTTTTATTTTTTTCTTTCAAAATGGCCGCTCAAAATGGCCGCCCGGTACATTTTCCCTGGCAGTCGGGCCATTTTTCAAGATGGCCGCCGACATTTAAAAAAAAAAAAAAAAAATCAGAAATAGATACATTTTTAGCAGTGTTTTTCTTTAAAAAAAAATAAAATAGGAGGCGGCCCCTCAAAAGGACGCGGGCGGGGACGCTAAAAATGTATATTTTTTTTAAATGGCCCAATGACCTATCGGGTATTTTGCGTGTGTATGTGTAGGGTCGTCATGGAGTGTATACGTGTGTATGACATCCCCAATTTGGACCATAATGAATCAGAGCTACAGATAGAAAGTAAGAGAGGGCAAGATTGCATAGAAAGGGAGAGGAAATGAGATTGCAGAGAGAGAGAGAGAGAGAGTAGAGAGATGTTTTGTTCAGTTCATCGTCTTTTATTGATACTTTGGTACTTTGGTAATACGGAGTTGTCCATATTCAAAGGCATAACTGAAATAGCGACACATTTTATTATTTCATCTTCAAGATTCAGGGTTTCGTTTTTTTGTCTCTCATATAAATGTACAATGTATTTAACTACTTCAACAGATAAAGAGTAGACAAGGCCGGGGGGGGGGGTACATTGAAGGGGGGACGCGCCCCTCCTTCTGGTAAAAAAAGTGTTACTTCTCTACCCTCTGTAGAGGTGTCGTGGACGAGTGGATATGTCACCGGACTGTGGATCACAAGGTCCGCAGTTCAAGTCCCACCGCGGCACTAATGCCCTTTGGCAAGACATCAATCTACATTTGCCACTCTCCACCCAGGTGTTAAATGGGTACCCGGTAGGATGCGAAAGCTAATGTGCTTAGATTAGTGTGCGCTTGTAAAAATGATGCACTGGCTGGAATGCTCCCCAGGGAGTGGAGAATGTGCATACATTGTGTGCGGGTAAGTCTGAATCCGATGACCGAGGTAATAATATGATTGCAGAGCCCTCAGGGAGAACAGTATGAATACTGGTAACATGGGTAAACAAGACATATTATTATTATTAATAGTAGTATTATTATTACCCCCCCCCCCGCTTATCCACCGGATGGATGATTCGCTGCAAAATATTTCTAACGAATTGGGCAAAGAGAAAAAAATAGTGCTCTTACCCCCCCCCCCCCCTCCCCCGCTCTTCACCGGCTGGCTGAGTCGCCGCCAAATATTTCCTCAAAAAATTGGACCCCCAAAATAAAAAGTGCTCTTAACCCCCTGCTTATTCACCGGCTGGCCGATTCGCCGCATAAATTTTCTGACGAATTGCCCCCTCCCCCCCCCCTCTTGACGACCTGCCACTGGACAAGGTTACCCATGAAGCACAGGTTGTAAATTGGGTCACCTTAAACTACGTTAAAAACAAATAAAATCAATCAAGAGGAAACTTATGTTCAATAACTACGCACACACGCACACACGCACACACACACACCCACACACTCTTTTTTGTTTATCCTTAATTTTTATTTTTATTTCATTCTTCAAAAAACATATATTTTCTTCATCATGATAACACGTAAAATAAGAATATACATGTACAACACAAAACTCTGGATACCAAACACTCCTCCCATATAATGTCTACAAAGGTTTATTTTTTTTTATTTATTTTTTTTTTTTTTTACTATTGTGCGTGCAAATATCAAATATTTGTGAGACTCGCTGCGAGGCCGATCTATAAATTCATTTCGGGCCTATTGATGTATTGTCAGTAACATGTTTACGCCGTCTTTTATTGATACTTTGGTACACATCATAATAATATAAATCAGGCTAGGTCATTCCAGGCTAATTAGGTTCTTTTGGGTTTAGTCCCGCCCCCCCCCCCCTCACTCAAGGGTCGGGAGGACCGCATTCGTGTTCCAAAAATCTAATCCTTAGCCTTTTGCACATCTTTCGGATGTACGCTTAAAAAATTGAAGGTTAATTTTTTTCATCCAAGTAGTGAACAATAATTCTGTAGTGAATTGAACAATAAACCTGCGTTGCATTTGAGAACAGTATGGCGCAACCGATGCATAATCCGGCAAATTCTCAAAGCGGTGATAATGATGAAAAAAGGGGAAATGGGGATAAAGTCTACCTCCGACGTCAATTAACCGTCATCGACGGCATCGCCTTGACGGTCGGGATCATCATCGGTTCGGGAATCTTCATATCACCGGCGGGAATCCTTCGCTATACCGGCTCCATCGGATGGTCTCTTATCATGTGGATCTTCTGCGGGTTGCTCTCGACGCTTGGCGCCTTGAGCTATGCGGAGCTGGCCACCTCGTTTCCCGTCTCTGGAGGGGACTACTCCTACCTGCTGATGTCCTTTGGTCCCATTCCTGCGTTTCTGAGGATGTATACGCAGATCGTGGCCTCATTCAGTGGCAGCAACACTGTGTTAGCATTAGCTGCATCTTATTACATTGTCCTGCCTTTCTTTCCAGATTGTGAAGTATCCTACAAGATCACAACCCTCATGGCTGCCAGCCTCTTATGTAAGTAGGCCTACATAGCTTTAACGAATTCTGTCCACGAGTAATTTATGTTTGCTGGACTTACGAGCCACACCGACAACCAGAAGCCAACTCTGGAAAAAACTGAAAATTTACGGGTAACGGAAATCACTTTCCATAAGAAAATAAAGCTTGTCCCAGTTAATGATTGCACTTCTTCCCGACTTCCCACAGGGAAGCACAATAGGTCCTTTTTCTCTTTATTGGAATATAACATCCATACTTATACGAACAAGCAGCATATTTGATTAAAGATAAACTTTAGTACTGGTAATGCGATTGCGTTGTGAAAGAAAAGGTGTGGAAAGGATCAGAAACAGTTGATCATGTAGCATGTAAGTATTGGTGTGCACTGCAAGGTTCTGGAGTCATCAAAATCATAATAAATTTGACCGAGTCTTGGTAGAGTAACAAGCACTCACATAGAAAGCTATATATGGGACAACACACATGGTGTCGGGGCTAGTACTACCTTGATTTCCTTGTCTTTCTATGCTCATTACTCAGCCAGTATACATTTTATTCCAAAATTGTTTGGCACATGTCATTTATTTGTAATCTTGAACATTCAGTGTAAGTTTCGTTTGATTCTGTGAGAATTAATTTTTTTTTTTTACCAGTACTGGAGTTTATCTTTAAGGCTCGCAAAATGTAAGTAATAATATTTATGTGCTGCATCAACAACAAATATTTTCTTGCTGGAGTGTACTTCCCCCTTCTGTTTCTATCCATCGGACTATCTTCTATATTTTCGATGTTGGTATGGAGATATGATGATGAAAACAAAATGGTTTCATTTACCCAGTGTATCATCATCAGGTATATTGATCTTCCCAGTAGGGATCATGCAATTATTATTATCCCAGCATTGCCAGGTTCCAAAATAATACACCGGGGTGGAGACGGTTTATTGTGTGTGGTGAAGTGTAGTGTCTAACGTAATTGTATGTATAAGCACTGGTGAGCAAGCCAAGATCGAACCCTATGATCGAACGCCGCTCATGGAAGTGCGTGTGAAAATCAAGGGCCTTAACCTATAATTATATCACAGTGCTCTCACTTACATGGTAATCATGGCTCACTTATAATCTACTTTGATAACTATGATGACAATTATTTTCTCCAAAGGTTTGACTTCAATCGTCAACTGTTTTAGTATCCCTCTGACTCGTGGTCTGAATATTCTGCTGACGATTTGTAAGGTCCTTGGACTCATCGTCATCATTGGCTTCGGGGTCGCAGAAATAGCCAAAGGTATGACAACCGGGTAAAACTTAAACCCTTTCGCGAAAACCCTTCCACATTTTTAGGTTTGACTCCATTTAAAAAAAAATTTCAGAGCCCTAAAAAATAGGCCAGATTAATGAGTAGAAAGAACAAAACTACTGGGGTCTCGGTCAAATATAAATACTGTAAGCATGCGTAACCAAGAAAACGCGTGTAAAGGGGTGTTTTGGAAATTGGACGGGGTCCGTCGTTGGCGCATTAAGGGGTTCAAAAACGTCAATTTGTGGCCACTTTCATGAAAAAGGGTACCTTTTTTCAAAATGGTTCAAAATTCTGCTGTACGCACCGGTATACTCGTTAAGGGGTACTTGCCTTCAGAGCCAGACCGTGGAAGAAGAAAAAAGGGGTAATAATTGCCCTTTGGCGAGGCTACCGGCCGCCGTCTGCTTCCACCCGCCAAAGGACTTCAAAGAAAGGATTTATGATGTGTGAAGTGTGTACAGGTTGATATTATTGCTTCCCTATTGAAATAAATGTTTACATTGTGAATTTTACATCAGAAGCACAATTTGATTTATTATACATTGTCAACCACTTAAATGGTAATCTATATCGCACTTCAAAATGTTCAAGGGGTTACAATATTACAGTACTTGTTTAGGAGTACACGTTTTTGAAATACTCGTTTAGGGTGAGAATTCGGTAAAAAAATACGCGAAATTCCTATTTAGGGTTAATTTTTGCTTCAGAAGAAATCCTCGTTTGCATGATTGTGGCTGTAGCCCGACTCGGGACCGATCGGGTATAATACGACTACGGACGACGCGACCGCAGTATTTACGTGCGTGCACCATACGCAAAACCGAAGCGTGAGGAGAACTTCGGTCTGTTTCGCGAACGCTATAGCGCGCGTTTACCGATAATCAAGTTCATTCGCTTACGTGCAGTTGTCCAAAAGAAGTCGCAGATGGCGTTATTTGCCATGCTACACCCCCTTTAAAATCGTCAAAATTGCAACACGTTGAGAGATTCAAAATCATTGTTTTTCGATCAAAATTTTCATTTAAAAAACTTTTTGAAAAGATTCTCGCCCATGTATAGGCCTATTGCTTTCAAATGTATTATATTTGTTTTTTTTTAATGTAGCAATTAACGAAAAAGTTATTTTTTGCCAATATGAAGACCAAGTCTGACCAAATTAGCCCTAAAATCAAATTCAGTCCTGAGAGGGTTAAAAGGAGGATTGATATAAGTTCCAATAATGCCCACGTGGAAAGTTAGTAATTCCCATTTATTGCTATAGATCTTATACACGAAGAAGACTAGAAATTGCTTACAACTTTCGACCAAATCCTGATGCAACATTATTGTGTATAATTATAGTCCCAAGTACTTTAGCTAAAGTTCTTACGTTGTCTTGTTTCAGTGGTTTTCAGCAATACGAGATTCAGCTAGTATTGTGTTGCATCATTTTAGAGGTCAATTTAGTTGGTATACATGAACAATATATAACATATAGGCCTACAATGATCACTGTACTCAGTCTTGCAACGGCTTAGGAATAAGGGGTCAAGCTCGCTATCTATAAGGACCTCTATTCATAAGGACCGCCATTCATAAAGACCGCCATTCGTAAGGACCGCCATTCATAAAGACCGCCATTCATAAGGACCGCCATTCATAAAGACCGCCATTCGTAAGGACCGCCATTCATAAGGACCGGCATTCATAAGGACCGCTATCCATAACGCGTGATTAAATGAATAGCGATCTTTTATAAATAGCTGTCCTTTTAAATAGTGAGCAGACCCCGGAATAAGTATGGTAAAACAAAACACAAGTCATGGAAAAATGGGGAGTCATTCAAAATATATCTTAACCCAATTTACAGTAATAAATGGTCACGTAACATACTTAAACAAAACATTAGGTTAATTTGAATATATTTATAATCACAAAGTTCGAGTACCGCATTTCTTTTGTCCTCCAAATGGGCCAGGTATAAAATTAATTAATAAGTAAGCAATAATTACTTTTTCTAGCCATGTTATGAGTATCTTTCGTTTTTCTTAATTATAGTGCGAATCTTGTCAGGAGTGATAGTATTTCAAAGATATTGATATGTAGAAGTTGTTTTAAATGAAATCGCGACATATTTCATTTTGTATTCTACAAGATTCAAGGTTCTCATAGACTAACAATTATTATACAATGTATTTAACTAATTCTACAGAGTTCGAGGAGACAAGGTTAGCCATGAAGCACAGCTTGTAAATTGGGTCACCTTTAAACTACGTTAAAAACAAACATCATTAATCAAGAAGGAACTTATGTTCAATAACTACACACAAACGCACACACACACACACACATACACACGCACACGAACTACATTGTGTTTTCCATCAATTTTCTTTTTATTTCATTCAATATAAAAAACAAAACAAATAATTATTTTCTGTCAAAAGGTAGAATTATCAAATGTGAATTTCTCATTTTTCATCTTCTTTTTTTTTATCCTTCACGCGGAAGGCAACACTGGGAATCTGTCGAATACGTTCACTTCTCCAGCTCTGTTCTCCACTTTTCCCCTCGCTGTCTATTCTGGACTGTTTGCCTACTCGGGATGGTAAGAGTCAAGAGAATTTTGAACAATTTGTTAAATCAGTTGGGTTCTAAATCAAACAGGGAGCAGAATCCTAACAATTTGTATTTTATTTTTGTATTTAAACTTTTTTTTTGTGGGGGGGGGGGGGGGGCGGTGGGGTTGATAAAAGTGTTTGGTCGCCCTGCGTATTTTAGGGACGTAAGGCGTGGGGCTAGGATGGGGCAGGACCCTGTTTTCCTCTGCTGGATATGCTCTCGTTGAAGCTAGGCCTGTCCACTTTTATTTTTACAGAGCTTGAATTTTTGAAATTTAACAACTGAATACAAATTTGATTCCCAAAACGGAAATAAATAACGACATAAAAAAGCAACAATTGATCATGTTCTTACAATGGCGACTTAAGATCTGTTTTATATTCGATAGGAACATGCTGATTTAATGAAACCGAAATGGATGAATTTTCATTTGAGGTATCTACTATACAAATATACGAATATACTATAGCAAACACAAATATGGTACGAATCGCTTGCCAATTCAGCATGATATAGAAGTAAACATGTACTCTTAGTATATTTACTTATTTCATTGTTAGGGTTAACAGATTAAACAAAATTATCCCTTCAAATAAGTGAAGGTCCAGAATCAGTGCGGAGTTCAACTAATAA